TAAAGTGGAATTAATATCCGTTTTCTATTTTACTGCGTTTCGTTAAGAGGTTTCACTACAGACCTAAAGTGGAATTAATATCACGTTTTCTATTTACTTGTGTCCGTCGAGAGGTTTCACTACAGACCTAAAGTGGAATTAATATCCCGTTTTCTATTACTTGCGTTCGTTAAGAGGTTTCACTACAGACCTAAAGTGGAATTAATATCACGTTTTCTATTTACTTGTGTTCGTTAAGAGTTTCACTACAGACCTAAGTGGAATTAATATCGCGTTTTCTATTACTTCACGTCAGACCTAAAGTGGAATTAATATCACGTTTTCTATTTACTTGCGTTCGTTAAGAGGTTTCACTACAGACCTAAAGTGGAATTAATATCGCGTTCTATCTTTTCACTACAGACTAAAGTGGAATTAATATCCCGTTTTCTATTTACTTGCGTTCGTTAAGAGGTTTCACTACAGACCTAAAGTGGAATTAATATCCCGTTTTCTATTTACTTGTGTTCGTTAAGAGGTTTCACTACAGACCTAAAGTGGAATTATATCGCGTTTTCTATTTACTTGTGTTCGTTAAGAGGTTTCACTACAGACCTAAAGTGGAATTAATATCGCGTTTTCTATTTACTTGTGTCCGTCGAGAGGTTTCACTACAGACCTAAAGTGGAATTAATATCCCGTTTTCTATTTACTTGCGTTCGTTAAGAGGTTTCACTACAGACCTAAAGTGGAATTAATATCACGTTTTCTATTTACTTGTGTCGTTAAGAGGTTTCACTACAGACCTAAAGTGGAATTAATATCCGTTTTCTATTTACTTGTGTCCGTTAAGAGGTTTCACTACCAGACCTAAAGTGGAATTAATATCGCGTTTTCTATTTACTTGTGTTCGTCGAGAGGTTTCACTACAGACCTAAAGTGGAATTAATATCGCGTTTTCTATTTACTTGTGTTCGTTAAGAGGTTTCACGTCAGACCTAAAGTGGAATGAATATACGTTTTCTATTTACTTGACGTTTCTAATTACTTGTGTTTTACGAGTTTTTCACTTGTGTCCGTCGAGAGGTTTCACTACCTAAAGTGGAATTAATATCCGTTTTCTATTTACTTTGTCGTTCGTTTCACGTCAGACCTAAAGTGGAATTAATATCACGTTTTCTATTTACTTGTGTCCGTCGAGAGGTTTCACTACAGACCTAAAGTGGAATTAATATCGCGTTTTCTATTTACTTGCGTTCGTCGAGAGGTTTCACTACAGACCTAAAGTGGAATTAATATCCGGTTTTCTATTTACTTGTTGCCGTCGAGAGGTTTCACTACAGACCTAAAGTGGAATTAATATCCCGTTTTCTAACTTGCGTTCGTTTGTTTCACTACAGACCTAAAGTGGAATTAATATACGTTTTCTATTTACTTGTGTTCGTTAAGAGGTTTCACGTCAGACCTAAAGTGGAATTAATATCGCGTTTTCTATTTACTTGCGTTCGTTAAGAGGTTTCACTACAGACCTAAAGTGGAATTAATATCCGTTTTCTATTTACTTGTGTTCGTTAAGAGGTTTCACGTCAGACCTAAAGTGGAATTAATATCACGTTTTCTATTTACTTGCGTTCGTTAAGAGGTTTCACTACAGACCTAAAGTGGAATTAATATCGCGTTTACTGTGTTCGTTAAGAGGTTTCACTCAGACCTAAAGTGGAATTAATATCCCGTTTCTATTACTTGCAGGTTTCACTACAGACCTATCCGTTTTCTACGAGAGGTTTCACTCAGACCTAAAGTTTAATATCACGTGTTCTATTACTTGCGTTCGTTAAGAGGTTTCACTACAGACCTAAAGTGGAATTAATATCCCGTTTTCTATTTACTTGTGTCCGTTAAGAGGTTTCACTACAGACCTAAAGTGGAATTAATATCACGTTTTCTATTTACTTGCGTTCGTTAAGAGGTTTCACTACAGACCTAAAGTGGAATTAATATCCCGTTTTCTATTTACTTGTTCGTCGTCAAGAGGTCCACTGGAGTCTGTCTAGCAAGATTTAGTTATTACAACTTAGGAAAACTTTCACAGGGGAGGCAAAGGGTTGACGCTGTCTCTCTAATGACTCTCTTTACGCGTTAATAAGGGAGAGTCGGAGGTTTTGTGAAGCAGTTTCGACTTGTATTTCGAGTCGTTTCGAGTTGCGAATAGGGGGAGGAGTGAGAGAAGAGAGAGAGGGTTGGAAAAGGGGAGAGAAAGGAGAGAAAGGGAGAGAGGCAATAGAGACAGAGACAGAGAGAGAGAGAAAGAGAGGAGGGGAGGAGAGAAGAGAAAGAGGGGGGAAAGAAAGAGACAGAAACGGAAAGAGGGAGGAAGAAAGACAGAGAAACAGAAAGAGAGGGTGACGGAGAAGAGAGAAGCAGAGGAGGGAGGAGAGCACTCAGAGAGACAGACAGACACAAAACAAAGGAACAGAACTAGACAGAGAGGCTAACAGAGAAGAGAGAAAAAGAAACAGAGACAGAGACGTTTAGAGAGACGGAGACACAGAAACAGAGCAACAGGGAGAGAGAGAGAGAGAGAGAGAGGATAACAAGAGACAGAGACAGAAGATATCACACAAAAAAATAGAGAAAGGTGTCACAAAAAAGAGAAAGAAGGTATCACAAAGAGAGAGAGAGAGAGAGAGAGAGAGAGAGAGAAAGAGAGAAGAGAAGAGATAGAAGAAAGAAAGAAAGAGAGAGAGAAAGACAAAGAGAGAGAGATAAAGAGAAAGAGAGAAAGACAAAGAGAGAGAGAGATAGAGAAAGAGAGAGAAGAGAAAGAGAGAGAAGAGAAAGAGAGAGAAAGCGACCTTGTTAAACCCGCTTGCCCTTTCCCACAGCTCGTGTCAAGAGCGAGTGTCGAATTCTGACCTCACGACCAATCCTTCACGCCGGCCGACACAGCACCCGCCGGTTTCTATTAGAGACCACCATTTCTATAATTACCTCACACATTCTTCTGTTGATTAGAATAATTGCAGTGAAAAGGGGGAGCCAAAATCACGCTACGTTTTTTGAAGGTTTAATTTTCGCTAATTGTGTAATGTTATTTCTTGATTGTTTTTTTTTTTTTTTTCTTGGTGGGATTGTTTCTTTGGTTGTTTGTTTGTTTGGGGTCTGTTTTTTGCTTGGATGGTATTTTGTTTGTTTGGGCGTTGTTTGTTGTATGTACGCTCGCACGTTCGTTCATTGGTTTGTTTGTGAATTTGTTATATTTGTACATTATTTTTTTTATCCGATCATTGTCTTTCTCTTTGTTTCTTTGCGAATTTGTTTTATTTGTACATTTCTTTATTTTTTATCCGTCTACTGTCGTTATATTTGTTTCTTTGTTTGTACATCCACCGTTTTTTTTGTGTGTGTTTTTCCTTTGTCTGCTTTATTATTTCCTACTCTTGTATTTCTTACATACATCCATTCCTTTTTATATATCTGTCTCTCTCTTTATTCATTTATTTACTTTATTTGTCTTCCTCTCAAGCACACGAGGACATAAAACGATCATTAACCCAAACGACCAATTGGGTTATCACAAAACGCTGGTGATTAGGGTCAAAATTGCTTGCAGAAAGGCGAACGGTGCAAGACGCTTTTGAAGAACAAGCTACAAGATAGAGGTCTAAGAGAGGTATTAATGAGGGGGAAGGGTTATTGAGGAGAAGAGAAGAAGGAGGGAGGAAGAGAAGGAGGGAGGAATGGAGAGGGGAGAGGAATGGGAGGGAGAGAAGGGTTATTGAGAGAAAGAAAGAGAAGAGAAGGAGGGAGGAAGGAATGGAGGGGCGAGAAGGGTTATTGGGGAGGAAGAAAGAGGAGAGGAGGAAGAGAAGGGGGGGAGAAGGGATTGAGGAGAAAGAAAGAGAAGAGGAAGAGAAAGGAGGAAGAAGAGAATGGCGAGAAGGGTTATTGAGGAGAAAGAAGAGGGAGAAAAGGAGGAGGGAGAAGAGGAATGGGGGCGAGAAGGGGTATTGAGGAGAAAGAAAGAGGAAGAGGAGAGAGAAAGAGAAAGGAAGAAGGAAGAGAAGGAGGGAGAGAGAATGGCGAGAAGCTTATTGAGGAGAAAGAAAGAAGAAAGAGAAAAAAAAAAAGAGGAGGAAGAGGAATTTTTTTTGGGGGGGGGGGACGAGAAGAGAGCAGTATTGCCAGATCGTGATCGTGCATATTCAAGGCTGGTGGATTCCTCGGTGTGAACTTCGGATTAATTGATGAATAACTGAATAATAAATAATAAACAATATAATATGAATAATGAATAATAAACAAATTCAAATAAATTCTTTACTATATAGAAAATCGATTAGGGAAATTAATCTAATTAAAGAGTTGAATTTATTTATGTCAGTAAGAATTAAAATGATTGTAGTGGTAATATTAGTAATAGTATTGATAATAATGATGATATTAATGATAAGGGTAATAAAGGATAAAGATAATTATGATAGGATTGATGCAATTGAAAATAGTAGCAATAATATTAATGATGATATTGATAATGATGATAATGATGATGTGATAGATATTCATATGTAGTTGAATCAGTAGACGATATTACAGATAACCATAATAGTAATAGTCATTTCACTAATAATAATAATAATAACAAATAAATAGATAAATAGAAAAAGAAAGAAAATAAAACCCAAAAATGTTCAATAACCAAGGGCGTTTCTCTTAATTATTTGACTCATTTATTTACGGGAAACTTTGACACTTAAGACGCTCTGAGGCTTTGCTTCGACCCGCCTCATAAGATCCTTCGTAAGACCTCCTCATAAGACCACCTCATAAGACCCTCTCATAAACATCTATAAGAGAGACCTTCGTAAGACCCCTCATAAAGACCCCTTATAAGAGATCTCCTTATAAGAGAGACCCTCATAGACACCCTCATAAGACACTTCTGAAAGACCCCCCTATGAAGACCCCTCATAAAGACCCTTTATAAGAGAGACCTCCTCATAAAGAGACCCCCCACAAAGACCCCCCTCACAAAGACCTCACAAAAGACCCCCAAAAGACCATACAAGACCCCCCCTCACAAAGACCCCCTCACAAAGATCAAAGACCCCCCTCACAAAGATCCCTCAAAAGACCCCTCCCCCTCAAAGACCCCACAAAGACCCTCCCCTCACAAAGACCCCCCTCAACAACAAAGAGCCCCCGCCCTCACAAAGCCCCTCACAAAGACCTCACAAAGGCCCCTCACAAAGACCCCCTCACAAGACCCCTCACAAAGACCCCCTCACAAGACCCCCTCACAAAGACCCCTTCACAAGACCCCCCTCACAGACCTCACAAGACCCCCTCACAAAGGACCCCCTCACAAAGCCCCCTCAAAAGACCCTGCAAAGACCCCTACAAACCCCCTACAAAGACCCTCACAAAGACCCCCTCACAAGACCCAGCCTCACAAAGACCCTCACAAGCCCCTCACAAAGACCCCCCCTCACAAAGACCCTCACAAAAGGACCCCCCTCCAAAAGACCCCTCACAAAGACCCCCCCTCATAAAGACCCCTCTTCTAAAGCTCACAAAGACGCCCTCACAAAGACCCTCACAAGACCCCTCACAAAGACCCCCTCACACAAGACCCCTCCCTCACAAGACTCACAAGACCTCAACACAAAGACCCCCCTCACAAAGACCCCTAAAAGACCTAATACAAGACCCCCAAAGAGCCTCCAAAGACCCACAAAGACCTCAAAAAGACGACATTACAAATAGACCTCATAAAGAGCCTCAAAAGACCACATACAAAAGACCCTCAAGACCCTCACAAAGACCCCCTACAAAGACACTCAAGACCCCCTAAAAGACCCCCTCAAAGACCCCTTCCACAAAGAACCCTCCAAAGACCCTCACAAAGACAAGCTCACAAAGAACGCCCTAACAAACCCCTCAGAAGACCTCACAAAGAACCCTAAAAAGACCTCACAAGACCCTCAAAGACCCCTCTACAGCCCCCAAAAGACCAATCACAAAGACCCCTCAAAAGACCCCCTCAAAAAGAGACCTCACAAAGACCATCCCTAAAAGAACCCCCTCACAAAGACCCCTCATAAAGACCCCTCATGTCCCCTACAAGACCCTCTCAAGACCCCGATAAGCCCTCACTAAGACCCCCTCACAAAGACTTCTCACAAAGACCCCTCACAAAGCCCTCCTCAAGACCCTCACAAAGACTTCCCGAATAAGACTTTATAGGGGACTGGGACTCGTTGGTGCAGACGGAGGTTGTTCGTCTAGACTGTTGGTCGGTTGTGATTGTTTGTCATTGCTGGTTGTGGGTATTGGGGGGTGGGGGTGAGGGGAGGGGGAGGAGGGAGGAGGATGGCAGAGGGGGTAGGATTGGGAGGGGGATGGATGAGGAGGGTGAGGGGGGAGGGAGATGGAGGGGTATGAGTGAGGGGAGAGGGATGGTATAGGAAGGGGAATGGGTGAGGAGGGGGAGGGGAGGGAGAGAGGAGAGGAGGGAGGATTGGAGGGGTAAGTGAGGGTGAGGAGGAGGAGGAGGATGAGGTAGGGTTAGGGTAGGGGTAAGAAGGGTTGGTAAGGAAAAGCAGAGAAGAAGGGTAGGGTTGGAGAAAGGTAAAAGGTAAGGGTTGAGAAGGCAGGTGGTTTTGGATATGGGTAGGGAGGGGGGGAGGGAAATAGGGGGTAGCGAGCGGGTATGGGGGTAGGGTGTGAGATGGGGGGTGGGGGAGGAAGATGACGCAGGATGTGTGAGGGAGGGAGGGGGGCGGAGGGAGGGGGGGGCTATGACCTATGCGTCCCAAGGTACTTTTGTTAATACTTGAAGGACAGGGGGAGGGGGTAGGAGGGGGGGGGGGAGATAGAACGGGATGGAACGCGTTAAAAGAAGGAGAAAAGGGAGGGAGGGGGGAGGGGGGGGGGAAGGGGCAGGTTGAAATATTAAAATTTATCGTCATGTATCCGTTTTTTTTTTTTTTTTTCTTTTTTTTTTAGAAAAAGGGGAGAAGATAAAGAGATAAAACAAGAGAGACGGTGAGTAAAAAAGAAAAAAAACGACAGAAAATAAAAGGGAAACACGCAGAATGAGAGATAATGGGATAAAGATTAAGGTAAAGAGATAAAGATTAAAAGCAAAATGACGAAGCGATAGAGAGAAAAGTAGGAACAGAGACAGAGAGAGAGAAAAAAAGAGGGAGACGGAACGAAAGAGAGAGAATTAAGCAAGTGAAGAGAAAGAGACAGAGAGAGAGACTGAGAAACTGAGAAAGAGAGACAGACAAAGAGAAAAAGAAAGATATGAAGCCAAAGAAGAGAGAAAAAGAGAGAGACAGAAACCAAGAAGGAGAGAAAGACAAAGAGACAGATAAAGACAGACAGAAAGACAGAGACTAAGACACAGAAAGAAAAATGAGACGAAGCGAAGGACAGAGACAGAAACAGAACCGGAGAGAGAGGAAAAGAGAAAAAGAGAAAAAGCGAGAGACAGTAACATAATAATGAAACGATACGAAAAAAAAGAAAAAAAGAGGAAGGAGAGGAGAAGAAGAGATAAAAACAAAACCAAAAATAGAAAAAAACAGAATAAAAAAATCAATAAAAATAAATAAATGAAAATAAAAAATAATGATAAAAAGCAGTAAAATAAATAAATAAATAAAAATAAAAAATAATGATAATAATAATAAAAAAAATATATATATATAAAAGTCTCCCCATAACGACCGAAATCTTCGTCAAAACTTCGTGTACTTTCGCCCTAATGGTATCTATCGCCTCCAGGGAAAAGAAGATGCTATAACTTGCTCGCTGCACATCGCTGCAACACTCAACGACTCTCCAAGGAAATGGATGAATGTGCGAACGTTATGAATACAAAAAAAGAAGATAAATGTTATTTTCCCTCTCCGTCCGAACGGTTTTGACTGCCAATATCAAACGGCCCTTTTATCAATTTTTTTTTTTTTTTTTTTTTTTTTTTTTTTTTTTTACTATTCTCATCGTGTCTGTAAATCAAAACTCCTTTGGGAACCGTCGGAGTATAATTCACAAAAGATCTCACGCAAAAAAAAAAAAAGAAAAAAAAAGAGAGACAGACAGAGAGAGAGACAGAGGGAGAGAGACGCAGTAGAGAGAGAGAGAGAGAGAGAGAGAGAGAGAGAGAGAGAGAGAGAGAGAGAGAGAGAGAGAGAGAGAGAGAGAGAGAGAGAGAGAGAGAAGAGAGAGAGAGAGAGAGGGAGAGAAGAAAGAGAGAGAGAGAGAGAGAGAGAGAGAGAGAGACAGACAGAGACAGACAGAGGCAGAGAGAGACAGAGAGTGAGAGAGAAGAAGAGTAGCGCGAGAAAGACACAAAAAGAGATAGAAGGCTTGAGAGACAGAGACACAGAGATAGAGAGAGACAGAGAGAGAGAAGAGAGAGAGAGAGAAAAATAATGTTTATCCAAAGAAATCGTAAAAAAATCCGAATGTTTTAATTACATACATTAATTCCGACAACCGCACTTTATTTATGTGTATATATCTCAATCTAAACATATATTCTTACATACATGTGCATAAAAGTCTTCGAAGATTTATTACCTGCATTTGTCTCCTCTCTCCTCCTTTCTTTTCCTTCTTCTTCTCTTTATCTCCTTCTTCTCCTTCTTTTTCTTCTCTATTTCTTCTCTCTTCTTTTTCTTTTTTTTCGCTTCTTTTATAGTTTTTTCTTCTTTTTTTCTTTCCTTTTCTTCTCCTTTTGACTTCTTCTCTTCCTTTTTCTTTTTCGTATCATTATCATTATTATCATTATTATCATCTTTGTTATTTTCTTTTAGTCTTTTCTTCTTCCTCTACATTTTTTCCTTCCTATTCCCTTCTCATTCTTCTTTTTTTCCCTCTTCCGTTCCTGCTCTCTCTCTCCCTCTCCCTCACCCTCTCCTATTCTCGCTCACCCCTCTCCCCTCTCCCTCTCCTCTTTTTAATCTCTCCTCTCCGTATTTCCCTCCCCCTCCCTCTCTTCCTCCTCTCTTCTTCCTCCTCTCTCTCTCCTCCGCCTCTCTCTTCCTCTTTTCCTCTCTCTCTTTCTCCTCTCTCCTCCTCTTCTCTTTCTCTCCCCTCCCCTCTCTCCTCCCTCCTTCCTCCCCTTTTCCCCCTCCCTCCCTCTCCCTCCCTCTTCCTCCCTCCCTCTCCCCATTTCCCCCCTCCCCCTCCTCTCCCTTCCCTCTCCTCCATCTCCTTCCCCCTCCCCCTCTCCATTCTCCCCTCCCCTCCCTCCCATCTCCCCCTTTCTCCCTCCCCGCTCCCCTCCTCTCTTTCCTCTTCTCTTCTCTCTCTCTCTTTTCTATTCGTTTCATTAAGGCCCGGAATCAGCAATAAAGAAGGAGAGACTATTTCTCCTGTGCGTTTTACCTCCGGACCAGTTCCCTCGTTCTCCGGACATTTCCAGTTTCCTCCGACAGTTCTCGTTCCTCCGGTGCGTTCCTCGTTCCTCCGGACAGTCCTCGTTCCCTCCGTGGGTTTCGTTTCCTCCCTCTCGTTTCCTCGGACCAGTTTCTCGTCGTTCCCCAGTTCTAGTTTCCGTCCGGACCAGTTCCTCGTTCCTCCGGACAGTTTCGTTCCCTCAACCAGTTCTCGTTACCAGGTGTCCCTTCCGGTGGTTCCTCGTTTCCTCGTTTCCCTCGGAGCGTTTCGTTCCTCCCGTGCGTTCCTCGTTCCCTCCGGACAGTTCTCGTTCCCTCCCGGTGGTTCCTCGTTCCCTCGTTTTCGTTCCTCCCGGACCAGTTCTCGTTCTCCGGGGGTTTCCTCCGGACCAGTTCCTCGTTCCTCGCCGGACCAGTTTTTCCCCTCTCGTTTCCTCTCCGGACCAGTTTTCCTCGTTCCTCCGGACCTCGCGTCCATCCCAGGTTTCCTCGTTCCTCCCGGACAGTTTCCAGTTCCCGGACAGTTTCGTTCCTCCGGTGTTCCTCGTTCCTCCGGACCAGTTCTCGTTCCTCCGGACCAGTTCTCGTTCCTCCGGTTCCCGTTCGAC